TGTGTGGTTACTATTTGTGTCCTGGTAAATTCACATAGGTTGGGTGATATATTAACGTCCTAGTATTGTATAAAAACCAAACACATAAACATATAAATGAAATAAGAGTTCATAGAGGGAATAACATGAGTTTTAACATAGAAAACAAATAAGTGTAAAAATCATGGGGTCTAATTCAGTTGAAATGATTCCGCTATACTGGTGTACGTTACAAAGCATTGCCGACCCTTGACTGACCGGAAGCAATTTTATACAAGTGTGGGTTATCGATGAACTCTACTAAAGGAGTGGACCTGTGAAGGAAGGCAGATAGAATGGTCGTGTATCAACAAATATGATGCTAGCCTTATATATAGTAGTGAGTTGACGACGATGGTCCAACGACGACAGTGATAGTGTCCTACTAACAGAGGTTTGGCGGTGGAGGCGACCCGGCGGTGGGGGTCAGATAGTAGCAATGATGGTGGTCGGGGCTGCGGTGGTAGGCCGCCGACGGTAGTCCGACTGCAACAATGGTGGTGGCCAAACAAGTGTGGTCCTACGACGACAGCGCTGGCTAGAAGATGATGATCCTGCAGCTAAGACGTTGGAGGTCGGGCAATGCTAGTCTGGTGGTGGCGATGACCGGAAGTTTGTGATCTGATGATGATGACAATGGTTGCTGGGTGGCTGCCCAAAGAAGGTGGTCTGACAGTGTTGTCCGATGGTGGTGGTCCAGTAGCAATGGTCTAACTATGATGGTCTGGCGGTGAAAATGATGGTGGCTGGGCAAAGGCGGCCCAATGGCGGGACAACCAAATGGTAGTGGTCCGATTGTGGCATGTGTTCATGTCATGGCCATGCAAGAATTGCTTATGTGATTTGATACAAGAGAAATTTCAGGATTTTCAGGAATCATACAAAATCTGCTGATTCTAATATCCTTTATAATCACTGGTTAATCACCTACAAGAGTAGGAAATGGATATATAAAAATGACATTCCTCTTTCTTTCAAATATATTACAATAGCTTTTTATTTCCTTTGATGGACCTTTGTTTTTTATTCTGAATGTTAAATTATGTTTTACTTTGTTGGTTTGGTTGCTTCTTCCTGCTGCTTTCCTATTTATTGGATCCAACATTCTGAATTGCAGTAGCCCTTTTTCTCCTTTTTTTCCTGGTAAGCTATCATATTTTATCTTGCTTGGTGGTTTCTCATTCTTATATTAAATTTTAACTGTTATTTAGAATATTTATATTCCCAAGTTCATGGATGGAAATTTCAATATATATGTTGGTTGATTCTGTTTTCTTTATTTAGCTTTTCTATTTTAGTTTTTTGGCTATTCTTTTGGTGCTTCTTTATTGTTTTCTAT